GGATAAAATCAATGCTTAAAGCAAGTGTGCCAAAGTGTGTGTTTGAAAATGTGGATGACAGCAAACTCCAACACCATAGGATGGTTTCATTGTTGTCATTGAGAGAGTATACACTTCAGAGAAGGTAAAGTCAAAACCACAAATATTTTAATTTGTACAGAGAGAAACAAGATATCCGCATTGCACATTTTCCTCTAAAAACTGAGTTTATCTAAAAAAGGCAACTTGGGATGTCTGATGGTGGTCTTCTAGCTGTTCTGTTTATTGGTATTGAATGTAACCATACATACAAAAAACATATATAGAGTTAAAACATTATTTGTTTTTTGTACAACCACAGATGTTACTTCAAAACCTGGAATCTCTACTATAAAACTTTTACGTTTCCGATACTTAAAATTCCCTTGACAGTGGCTTCTAGCCTTTTGTTTTAATTTAAAAAGAAGGAGGCAAGCTGGAATAGGCTTCATCATACAAAATTACAAATGCAACACAAATTGGAGTGGAAAATGAAGAGGTTATTCCACATGGCTTATTCATGAGAACCCAGCGCTCGTACCTTTACAGAGATTTACAGCACAAAAGGTGTCAGGTTGTCACAAGAACAGCCTCCCAGCTGTGTTTCCACAACTGAACTGAAGAGCTGGGGGAGGCATCAGATCTGGTACAGTACATACATACAATGAAATGACTGTGCATGAAGTGATGTCATTTGCTTGGGAGTGCTCTGGAATTTATTTTTGAAGCATAAAAGAATAGCTACAACTGAAGTAAATAAACTGTTCCTTTTTTATTTGATGGCTGCAGACACATTATTTCACTGTACATCATATGTAAGAGTTTAGCAGGGGAGGAGGAGAAATCACAGAAACTCTTTATTAAAAAACAAAATAAAAATAGACAAGTGCCTTTTTTCCTCCCCAAAGGGAGAAAGAGCCAGAAAGGTGTCACCTGTGTATTTCTGTAAGCACCATTGTTCCAGCTTGTGTTGCTAAGTACACCTTTAGAAAGAATGTACAACCACTGCGTTAAAAATGCCTTACCGAAACCTTGGTTGAAAGGTTTCTCCTTGTTTGGATTTCTCCTTCGTTCCTTATTTTTTCTCAGCTGTCTGTGCAGGAAGTAAATTGATGCCAACACTTCGTGGCACTTGCGTTGCCTGCTCATGGCCCTTTCATGTTCTTACCAGCTCTCTGTCCAGCCTGCATTCTGCAAGACGACGGCTCACAGTACCCAGGAGGGCCGGGAGGGCCAGGAGGACCAGGAACCCCAGGCTGACCGGCCACCCCAGGGAGACCTCGTTCACCATCATGGCCTTCCCTGCCATAGCTGGGTTTGCCTGGTTCACCTGGAAAAGTGGATGTAGGTCTAAAAATTGGCAGCATATGACTTGCTTAGTATACATGTAGCTTTACTGAATATCCTGTTCTTAAAAGCTGTATGAAGATGGCTTTCTACTGATCTCAGTAGAGAGGGACAGTTTTCCTCTAATAGACAACCAGGCTGTGTTTACACATCTACAGCAATGAATTTCAGGCCCAGCCCTCTCCAGTTATACTTGAGCAGATCTGCTGCTATAAGAAGCCATGTGGTACAACTGATTGCAGCACTGCAGACAACCCTGTTGGCAATGTGGATGGAGGTGTAGTGCTACTCACTACTTAAGTTATGTGAGCACTCCAAAAAGAGACGTAGCAAGAATTTATTTTTATTCTCCACTCAGATGTGTTGGGGAAATAGATCTATAGCGTGGAACTGCTGAGCATAAAGTATCTTTTTACTTCTAAATCTTCAATGAAGGGATGAAATACAGTGATTTTAGTAAGTCTCTTCCAATGATACATTTCTGAAGAAGCCAACTCTGGGTTTCACAGATATCCTAGGTATCAGTATATAGTCCACTGATTTTCTTTTTTCTCCTTTTTACAAAGAGAACAAATTCCAGTAGGTTCTGTCTATATGTACACGCAGAAACGCACTGTAGAGAGATACCAATGGAAATAACATGTTTTTTTTCATTCACTGGCCACTAGAGGCCAGTTGTGCTGCACTTATCAGCAAGAATCTGTCCTGGACCCCTATTATATAACACTAATTAATTACCACAAAAATAAAGGAGAATTGTATTTTGAATGTCCTAAATTATGAATGGAGATTTTGAAGACTGCTGTGGCTGCCAGTGAGACAATCTGGGGTTTGTGGCCTTTTTTTTGTTTTATTTTATATATAAATTAGTATTTATACAAAAAAAAAGAGGCAATCACACCTATATATATGTACACAAGTGTGATTGCCTTTTTTTTTTTTTTTAATGCTTTGTATACATTTTTCCTAATCTTTCTACACCGATATAGATATAGGGTGGTAGCTCTTTACTAAAAGAGCTTTTAGTTCTGATTTGTGACTGTATTACTACCTATGAAGTAAAAATTATGAAGTACTGTTATTTGGAAGCTTATTGCTTAATGGACACCTTTTACCTTTTCAAGACAGCTTGAGATATCAGTTCTGAATAAATTTTTACTATATCTTTTCCTCTTTATCCTCATCCTTGTTATATTTACCTGGAAGACCTCTTGGTCCAGGGTAACCTTTCAGTCCTCTGCCTGGAAATCCTCTATCTCCTCTTTCTCCTGGTTCACCTAAAGCAAATAAATGAAATATTAGTTACAGCCTCTCAGAGGTGAATGGCTAATAAGCAAAGAATTCGGGTGGTTGTATATATTCTTAGCATCTTTGAATGATGTCCTGACACATGTCCTTGTAAGAGGTTTGGGGTCTGTTTGGACTTTTCCCCCCATTTGAGCTATACTCAGAAGTAGACATGTTGGAGGGAAAAAAAAAACCCACCTGGGGCTGGACAGTAAGTACCACAGGAAATATACCATAGTCTATGTAACAGAAATAAACCAAACTCACAGAACTACATAGGCTATTTTGGAACACAGACTGAGGGTATTAGCAAATAGCTTTTGCAAGACCATATGACTCTGCTAATAAGCAAAAATTCTCAAGTGCTGGTCCTTGAACTAGCTAGTGCAGAGAAGAAAAGAGAAGCTGGCTTGCGCACATTACAGTATTCTGCTGACATCCACATAAGACATTCATAAAAGTAAAACAAAGGACTTTGTTCTCGTATACTGGTATTACGGAGACTTTTCTTTGGTGGGCGCTCAACTTATTTTTTCAAACTCAGATGTTACTCCAAACAAGAAGCATCTTAGTCCAAGGAAGCTTTTTTGCTGTTTTGGTTGTGAAGTTCAAATTCTGTTCACTGGACATATGCCATGAAAGTACATATACTTATCACTCATGAATACCCTATGTAAACTCTTGACTTTATTTTTTTTTTTTACTGCAAGTCAAAAGTCTCAAGTATATGCCTAATAATGTTTGAGTGAGCTTTATTTTATACTTCCATACTTTCTTGTACTGCAGTAAGGAGAACTGGAGCAGACTTAAGTTTAGGGCTTGCCTAGAAATGGCACAGCAGAAAACAAGGAAGCTATGTAAAGGAACACAGGAGTCAGTACAAAAGTCCAAATTTCAATAAAAGATGCACACAGGGTACTAGAGGAGGAATCTTATCTCTACGCTTCAGACAGCCTAGTCAACATGGACATTAGCCTCCTTTTGTAAATACGGCTACTGGAAGCACTGCTATCAGGTTACCCATATATACTTCTGCTATTTCCAGCTACTGAACACTTTGGAATAGTGTTTACTGCTGGTTACCCCGAACTTCTCCAACCTCTTATTTCTGATTCTCCCTCCTTCACTACCCCAGACTGCTCATTAAAAAGTCACTATAGCCTCTTTCCTTGAGCCAGCTCTTTTTGACTCTGCTGTTGTTGATGCTGTTAAAATCACTGTACATTTGTATCTTCTGCTCTATCTCATGTTAACCCATTCTTGCGTTTCTCTTTCCTCTTTATCATGCCCTTCTAAACCATTCTCAACATCCTCCTCCTTTCCATTTTTATCACGTGTCCTTTTCCTCTCACTCCTACATACCCATGTCCTCTCACTCCCATCTTGGACAACTCCCCAAATGAATGGGGAAAGTCAGTTCATCTCTGTGACCCCTGTGAAACTCTAGGAACTACCAGGAGTGAAGCATTAAGATTTTTTTTTTCAGAGTGCCTGCCACGTACCATCATGATAGCTCTTGCACATTAGAGCATTCACCATTTCTCTTGTATCTGTAATTGTATTTCAAGGTTTACCATAAGGTAACTTGGAATTTGATGAAAATTATGATAGGAAACAAAGCATTTTGCTTGTTTGGGCTTTTTTTTTTAATGCTTTGTAGATTTTTTTTTTTTTTTTCATATTAACACAGTGCAGCCTGGTGTGTGATGAATCAAATTCAGCCTATCAGATCACCTTTGTATCTCCAGTTTTTGTTGCTTCTGCGAATACCAATGACATTACATTAAATGAAAACAGTAACAGAGCTCCAGCAACAATGCTGTTAAGGTTTGCTTTGTTTGTGTTCTATTCCTTCTCTCAAAGGTTTTCCCAATTTAACTTTCAGATAAAACTTGAGACAAAAGTAAATGCTCTAGACAGACCAGCTTTGTGCAGGTCTGAAATACGATTTTTAAATAAACCTTCCTTCAAGAAAACAAATTGAAACCACTGCTGAATAGAAACTAATACATACATAATGGTCATGAGACTTTGCAGAAAATTCTACTATATAATCCTTTGGAGGTGTATAAACCCTCTCAGGCAGGAACAAAAGAGATTAACTTAGATAGATAAAGCTTTTTTGTAAAGTGTAAGGTTAGTCAATTTTATTACGGATTTATTCTTTCCAAAGAATTAATAGATTGTGGTACATGGTGCAATGATGTTACCTGGCTCAAGTATTACACCCAAACAAAAGAGGCAGACTGTTATCAATCACTTGTAATGGAGAAACTGGACAGACTTAGAAAAGTAGGCTAGACATTAGCGAATGAATGTGACCGTTTACGTTAGCTTTTGGGACCAAAAGTCTTGCAGAAGTGAGGTCCACAACCAAACTGAGTGGAGGAAAGAGAGAATCACTACTGGAACTTTTCAGCATATGAAAAACACAAACCTCAAGAGTCCATGAGAGGGAAAATTAGTATTAGGAATCCAACTCAGCTGCTTACTTCTAGTTCAAGGCAGATGCCTGTCCTTTTTTATACTATGTAAGTGATTTGATGACAAAAAAATGGATTTATAAACACGTCTTGCTGAGGCCAAGCCAATATGCCCTTTAATCACTGGGGCAATTGAGGCAACAGTTACAGGAAATAGCTTAGGTTGCTAATTCAGGATCTTTTTGGACTTTACATGTGTACAATGTACATCCACAATCTGTACCCCCGCCCCAAAAAAAAGACCCCACAAAAAAACGGAGCAGTCAACAACTGAAAGCCAGTTACAGAATTTCTTACCTTTAGGACCTTTACGACCGATCTCACCAGGGGGACCTTTAAGGCCAGGCAAGCCACGGGGTCCAAGCTGTCCGGGGAAGCCATTTTCACCAGCAGGTCCTGGAGCACCTGGTGGCCCTGGTCGGCCAGGAAGACCTGGAGCACCAAATTCTGGCCTCCTAAGACTGGCTGCCAGCTGAGCTAGTTGTTCTGCAATGAACAGGAAGACAGAATTAAGCAGTAAGTGGATCTGAATGGAGAGATTCTTATGTTCACTGAAGAAGAATCTGTATTCTCTACCAAAGAAACCGACAGATAACAGTACAGCACCTTCCTTATGTACAATGCTATTTACAAAGTTTGTTACACAAGATATTAGTACTACCAGAGGGAAATTGCATAAGCATACTGTGAAGCTGGTCACTCTGAAGCCTACATCTTAAACATTTAATGCTTGCAAGCTGAAATTACTTAAATGTATACAGTTTATTTAGAAATGTCCTTATAATTTTCTATGTCATTTAAATTTCAATCATCTAGCAAGAAAACTTACTCATGCAATTGCTGTCTCTTAAAAGAGCAACTTCATTACTACTTGTTAATCCTTATTAAGATCCATCTTTGCAAGAAGGAACAGCTGAAAAACATGAGGGCATTCATCTACATTGGCCTGCAAAGTAAGTGTAGGCTGCCTTTTTCAGATGAAAGAAACCCCTCAAATGGGTGCTCATGAGCTCAAGTTTGATAAATAATTGAACATTTTATGCTGCTTTTTTTTTTTTAAGGTAAATCAGCAGCAGCTTTGCTCTTCATTAGGCATAGGATCAGCTTGCCATTCCTTGGAATGGCCTAATATAGCTGTTCCCTTTTCCTCATCCCCCTTTCAGACCACTGCTGTAACAACATGAGAGCAGTCTTCTCTTTGCTTAAAGTTTCTATTCCAGACGTCAAATCCATCTTCCAAGCATGCCTCAGAAATAACTTTCTCTGGATACAGCCACACAGAACTCCCTATGACATTTGTTATAAAGTCTGCATGACTTGGCAAGACAAGTTATTTTGTGTCCACAACCAAGAAAAATTAAGATGGGGGTCGGGTGGTGCAAAGGATCTGAAATAAAGCAGGAACTATGGCTAGCAGATACTTGAGGAAGACTGGGGATAGCAATCTGCAGGCAAAGCCTACTCAGGAGCTAACCTTCAGTTACTTTTGTCTTTAAGCTGACAAGGTTCCAGGGACCCACTTGGATTGGTTTTTTTTTTTTGTCATTTTTTTTTTTTTAATAGCATGACAGCACTGACAATTATAGGGGCTCTCAAGAGGGATGCAATGAAGACAGTCTAGATTTTTCCCATATCCTTCTCTTCACTGCTAATTCTGGTGGTTATGAATAAATGCAAGCATCATATCTGATTTCACTATAATCCTCCTCAATATTACTGTGTCTTTCAAGAGATCACTTTAAAAGGCCTTTTCATCCTATTTATATAAAGTTTAAAAAAAAAAAAAAAAATACCCTGTTGGGCAGTATCAAGAACAGCGATGGCTACTGATAGTTTTTAGATTAACTCATTAGCAGCAATTTCATTCTGGTAAACACTTAACTTTACAAAGGCATAATATCCCTAAGGGCTTCTTCAAGAGTAAGTACTGAAAAATATCTTTTGTGCTTACAGGGCAGCATAAGTTTTTAAACTTGGTAAACCCAATGCACCCAACTGTATTAAAAAAGCTCCAGATTTCTGTGCGTATCAAGAAGAACTGAGCAAATATAATTAGGGTTTTGAACATCTACCTATTGCTTTCATTTTATGGTAAGATACCTCTCTGCACTGCTCTTTTTTTTTTTTACCTATTTTGCACATAGTTTGTTTGCTGTAATCTAATAGTGCATGAGTACAAATGAAAAAACAAGCTTCCAGTGAAGCCATGTACTTTTACATATGTAAAAATAGCAAGTGATTTCTACACAAAATATATATATTTCATAAAAACACTCTGGTCTATCACCTGGTTACTACAGTAATAGTGTGGAATCCACAGGTATTTCAATGAGGCTGCAAAGTATATATAAAAAAGGGGACTTCTTTCTCATATTCTCTCATATTGTGTCCCCATTTACATGTGGGAAGATTTTTCTGCCAGGTCCCCTACTGAGGCCACACTATTTGTTCTGGATAAGAGTGGGAAAATCTCGTGTGCCTCCACAGCAGTAGCTTATCCTGATTTAAATGCACAAGAAACATCAAATACTTTTTAGAATATTTACCTTGCATGACTCTCATGCAAACCTGCTTAATGTGCTGATCAGTTGGTTCTTTTCCCTAGGATTAAAAAAGTAATAGTTTAAAAAAACAGTTGACATCACAGTACATTTTATAAGTGCGCCTGATGGAAAAAATGTTGGCTGGTCAATAAAAGTTGTTCCAGTCCCTGCAAGTGCAACTATTCCAGCTGAAGTCAATTGGACTAGCAAGGTGGATACTATGTGTTATACACCCATGTATCAAACATGGTACATGCGGACTACAGCAGTGGGACAGGCGTAAGAAAATGGAACCGAACTGAAAGCCAAGGACCCAAAGACCTAACTGTATACAACCCTATGATTTCTCTGGTGCACAAATGTGTCTGTTCTGAGGTACCGTGCACTTCATACTCTACTGTGGCACTTGGGTTTTGCATGCATACATAGCTCCTGGTGCAAGAAAAGGAGTGGTGTGAGTGACAGCTAAGCATTCAAAAGATACCAGTCCCATTAAAACAGTACTTACAGCTGGACCTTGGCTGCCAGGCAGACCTGGGGCACCCTGTTCACCCTGCAAGCCTCGCGGCCCAGGTGAGCCTCGTGGCCCTTCCATGCCAGGCAGTCCCCGACTTCCCTCAGGGCCACGGGAACCAGGCTCTCCAGGATTACCAACCTGGCAATGAAAGAGAAGATTTTCAATGGACTGCTATACTAGTGTTAGACTCATTCTGACGTATCAAAATGGTGGCAGGAGCTATTCACAAATGCAAAGCAATGAACACTGGGATGTAGAGTTGTTGAACAGCTTCTTTTTAAATAACTGACTGGAGTCAGTGGTTGTGTGATTTATAAGCTTAAAAAGAGGTCTGTATTCCTCCCTTAAAGGGGAGAAATGAAAAAAAAGATATTCTGTCAAAAGACACAAAAGGGCATCCGTAGTGACATGTACAATACATTGGTTTTTTGTCAAAGAACAGATCTCCTGTACTTGGTTTCTACTTCTCCCCTTGTGCATGTCACATGCAACTTTTCTAGACATTAAGTGCTCCTTAAGTTACACAAATTCCAGCTCCCTGCTTGTTCCAAATGCCTTTCATTCCCTTTTATAGATAGTATGCCAACAGGCACCTCCAAGTTACTTTCAATACAAGTTACTGTACTACTATTAAACAATAGTAGTACTAAAAAAGGAAAAAAAACCCAACCAAAAAACAAACCAACCCCCAAAACCACAACAAAATCCAACCCCTGAACCAAAACAAACAGGAAAAAAAATCCTACATACTTATGCCTTCCCACATCTACTGGGGAAAAAAAAAAACCAACACCTGCTGAAAGAGATGCTCAACAACACGGCAAATTACTCAACTGTGGTATCAGTTAAATCCACAAGATGGAGCCATTTCTGGTCCATCTGTGCTGCATCTTGGACAGCTAATTGCTGTCCCTGTCAGAAGAAAACCCAAAGAACACACTTCAACAGATATATTAAGACGACAGCAAAATTCCCTTTGTGGACTATACAACCAGGAAGCCATCATTTCTTTGCTGCCCAGTCTGGTGAGTTATCAGGTTCCCTGATGGCTTATTCATCCTTGTGTATGTACTCACTAGTATGACAAACACTCTAAGGTCCAATCAAGAGAAGAGGATTTTAAAAATCTAGGGGAATAAAACTACAGATTTCTCCTCTATCTCTTCCTCATGTCCTTCCTGTAAGATCTTGATCAGCAGTAAACACTCCCTAGCTTGCATTTGCTTAGCGCCAAAGTCACGCAGGCCACTGAGAACACAAGCATAGCTCTTTTTGTTACATTCAACCTCCGTTCCCTATAGGCAGAACTGTTGATATGTTAGTATCATAGCCCAAACTGTCAGCTGCTGTAACAATCCCACTCTTCAGTGATCTTGGAATAACAGAATGCGTTCAGCCCTCAAACACTTTTTCTTACGTGATATACAAGCTTCTGCTCACCTTCCACATCAAACCTATCATTTTGTTATTTCTAAAAAAATAAAAAGAGAAAAGGAATCTGGGCCATAAATACTTCTGCTTTCACAGACATCACAGTCCTGCTGCCAGCTTTCTCACAGTGTAAAGATTACAGGCTGCACGCAGCCACTGCACTGGGCCTCCTTTCTATACAACACCTACTGTACAAAGAGTGCATTCATTTCCTTTAAAAAAAAAAAAAAATTAGTTGGCCAGAAAACTGCTGTTGAATAATGCTTCTCTTTTATGAAGCTAATTCATTTTAATATCAACTGTATTCAAAATTTAAACAGAAGAAACACTGTTGGAACTCATTCAATTTAACTGTGATAAAGAGCTCAGCTCGTTATTTGTATTGTCTTTCTTAAATCAGAAAACCATCTATCTGATCTACTAGATCTTCCTATTTCTGTAACAATGCTATTCATTATACTTACAGCTCCCTTTGCTCCTGGTAGTCCCATATCACCCTAAGCAAAAATAAGACAAACTATATTAGAAGAGAGTATCCATTATCACAGACATTACAAATGCAGTTAACTTGACGTGATTTTTCTTTTCCCCCCACTGTAAAAAAACCCACACATATTTAGTTGACTTATGCAAAATTGCACCTCAAATGAATTACAATTCATTTGGAAATAAACCTTAAGTTTCAGACTTTTTTTTGCAAAAATTCCTTTCTCAGAGACATTTCTGTAAGGTACAAATAAGAAAGCATATTTATTTTAATTGGATCTGTATTGCTTATCTTAGAATTAGACATGTGGCCCTAACCTCTCAAACCACAGTTACAGCACAGGACAATCTTAGCAGATTGCTTGGAAACCTTTAGAGGAAGCATTATGTAATCAGGATTTTCTAGTTTGACAGAATTACAGATATTTTACAGTGTTGTATTAGCCCTGACAAAACTGCAGCAGAAAGCAGGCAGGTGTCTACCCAGTGTTCTGTGAAGAAGCCAAACCCCTAGAAGTTCCTGTTCCCAGCAACCTGGCTCATGGCTTGAACAACCCTGAGATCCCTCTACTGCTTGACTCTGTATAGCAGTCCAACTATTCAGAATTTTTTAGTTTTCTCTTTGAATTGGGGGTGGGGGAGGTGGGGGGTGGAAAAAGTTTAAAAATCTTGTAGTCACCTATGAGATAGATTTAACTTATCTTCTTCAGTATTTTCATACTACTCTTGGAGAGATTTCTGAAAAGTGTATTTTCCCAGTTCCTAAATGTCATTGGTGCAATAATTGGTTTCTAAAGGTCAGAAAGGCCACTTTGTTAATGCATATGCCATAAGTGAAGTAGGAATAACAACCGTTACTGGTTTAAAAACAGACTAACTGGCAGCACACTTAAACAACCCATAGTATTGCTTCCTGGGAATCCGTATAGTGATGGTAAAGCTGTGTTACTGGACATCTAGCTCACTAGGGCTGTTAATTAACTTTTAAAGCCTTTCAGAATTGCAAAGTGGAGGAAAAAAGTGCTCATTTCCAGCACATAACCTGGCTACCATTTTTTAAATAGGGAGCAGTTTACTTCCTTTTGAAAGAGCAAGTTCTGGCTTTGCTGGATGGGGCCCCGTAGGAGCCGCTGGCCTAGCACATTTCTCTTTCTGCAGGAAAACAGATCTTCTTTACCCAAGGGCACACAACCCAGGCATTACCCATGTGAACTCACAACATACCACACTCCTGCAGTATATACACCTCCCTCCAGCAATATCACAGTGCCACAGCCTCTTCCCAGACCATTCTCCCTCTCTCTAACAGCCGGTTGCTACATCTTATTGCCAAAGATATTTCCAACAAGTCTGAGTTATTAAGGATATTTACTATCTGTGCTCCTGTTTCACCTGAAAATATATATATATATATATATATATACACAAATGCTTGGTATATCTCTACATATGTATCCATCTATATATAGGCAGCCTGTACTATACTATACACCTAATAGAACATACGTATTTCAGAGTGTTTTCAAAACAGCAGGAACGGTGTGACCGGGCTAACAGAACTACTGTGCTCCACAATGCCCAGTTACTATAAAACTGAAATGTGACTTTCAATTATCAAACCATATGCTTGAAGCACTCCAACAATACTTCAAAGTTTTAATTTACAACAACAAAATATTAGATAAGGTGAACAGAAAATAATGCCTTACCAAGTCACCCTTTTCTCCTCCATCTCCTTCTGCTCCAGGTGCACCCTATATCAAAAAAAGACATACTATCAGCCTTCGGATTTAGTCAACATAATGTGCTGCAGCATTTGGTAGTGTGACTTGAAAGTACCACAACCTGTAACACGACTTACTTGTTCACCCTTAGGTCCTGGTTCACCCACTGAACCCTAAAAGGTTAAAGATTAAAAAAAAAAAAAAAAAAAAATCAGAATTTGAAACTGCAGGTTCAAAAGCATACTAAACTATCTTCAATCCTCCCCACCATCTAGCATTAATGCAAGAGACCTTTAAAGCTGCAAATTTTTAAGAATGACAATCAAAGCACTTAAATCTTACTATATAATTAAGGTGACAGACTGAAGGCAAGTACTAGCATGGAACATACAATCCACTGCCACACTGGATGGTACAGATTCTCACTGTCAAACAGTAGATCTCCCCTTTACCTGGCAGATGCTCTTGCAGCTGCTACAGCTCTGCTCTGCAAATTGCTTAGAAGTTATAAGTAAAAAATCCAGTAAGTGTATCACTTTTTCTAGCCCTATTAAGTATTCTGTATTGCTGCAGGCCATACCAGCCCTGCTAATGTGGGATAAGCACACCGAGACATGCACAGGTTCAGTCACAATCTGGTTTTGCTTGCTGTTTAACTCTCAACATTTTCAGCATTTTGATCTCGTTTCTAGAGTTTTGATCATTACAGTCAAAGCTGAATGGCTTGTATCTTAAGAGTTGATAATTCCTTTTTTTAAAAAAATAAATAATATTATTTTTCATCTTAGAATCCCCTAACAAAACATACCTGTGTGGACAGACAGGAACCAAAGAGGAATAAATTAATGACCTGATTAATTTCAAAAATATGTAATTTCTTTCTAGAGTAAAAGTATTTAATTTGTAGAACAGTGTACTATTTAAGAAAATCTTAGTATTTGTGTTTCGTTAGAAAACCAATCACACCATCCTTAAATGTTCTTTGCAGACTGTGCACATTCAAACATATACATTCCAAAAGAACTGTAATTGTGCATAAAAAAAAAATTCTAAAACAGACAGAGATACAGCATTTTCTCTCCCATTTCGGAGATCCATTTAATTCACATAAGATAAGGCACACAAACTGGTGCAGCATCTACAATTTAATGAATTCAGATTTATTCTCATGTTCCTGAGGGCAAAGAGTCAATGCTAAATTATCCACAAAGCTAAGCAGTGGAAATCACAGACCTATTTAACATTCCAACTTTGTCAAACAACACTGAAACTATCTTGTCTGAAGTGTTCTCAAAATCACGCCTTATTAAGGTTTTCCAATTACTTACACAAAAAGACGTTGATTTCCAACCTAACATTTTGGGGATTCTTTATCTCCACTTACTCTTCTTTAGAGCAACAAAACTGCCAATAGATAAGGTTGAGAAGGGAGAAGCTTTTGCTTTTGTGAAACTTGGCCTGTAATGTTTGTATTAGCAAACATAAAAATCACAGCTGAAACTATCTGAATCTATTCTACGTTGACTCCCAAAATTTCAATGGAGACAACAGGGTAAGATGACAAGATATGAGAATATCCACTTTTTTGACATACTGCTTATCTATTTGTAAACATCCCTCTCGAACCATGTCCAAGAATTGTTTGCGACACTGCCAGTCAGCATTAGCTGAAACTATACCAGGGGCTACACTAACTACTTACCAGTATAAAGGATTGTGTTCCAGTGCCAAGGTCTGGGTCTTGGCCTGGTGCTGTCTAATAAAACTAAAATAGACAGAACCAGAGTGTCTGAAAGCAATTCAAAATATGTGAAACAGTGTAAGTGGTGAATACTGGGCTTTGGGCATTTCTGTAAAATACCTGCATAACCAGTCTGTAAGGTTCACTGAAGCCTGATTCATTGTTGTAACACTGTTTGGTATTGCTATCTCTGCTATGATACGTCAGGTGTGTGACAGATGCAGCCGACTCCTTGACCAAACTAGTGGCAGTCTGGTTCAGGCTCCAAAAGAATTAAAGGCCGTAACCAGGCCAAGAACTTCATAGAATCATAGAATCATAGAATCGTCTAGGTTGGAAAAGACCTTTAAGATCATCCAGTCCAACCATTAACCTACACTACCAAGCCCACCTAAACCAATCAAGGGTAGACTAGACTAAACCATATCCCAAAGCGCCACGTCTGCCTGTTTTTTGAACACTTCCAGGGATGGTGCCCCCACCCCCGCTCTGGGCAGCCTCTTCCAATGCTTGAACCCCCTTTCCGTAAAGAAATTTTTCCTAATTTCCAGCCTAAACCTCCCCTGGCGCAGCTTGAGCCCATTTCCTCTCGTCCTATCGCTAGCTACTTGGGAGAAGAGACCAACACCCACCTCACTACTACCTCCTTCTCTACTTCCTGTGTGGGTTTTCAGAGAGCAGGCTGGAACAGGGTGATGCAGCGAGCACTGATGCATATGGGCTTGGAAATTGGAACACTGACCACGCAATTAACACATGAACAGCAGGTGGTTCTTCCAAGGCTCATTTGTCAAGGAACAAAGTTGTGAGTCCAAGGAGTCTCATGCTTACCTTTTCCATCACATCCATTTGAGTATGAGCCAACCACTTTATTCCATAAATATGACAGACTGTGTGAGCCTTTTTCAAGCTCTCCCTGCTACGCAGTTGGCTGCATGGTGGTGATCTCCCCTTGAGCTGGGACACCTCTCAAGGTTACTCCTTAAGGCCAAGAGACCCCTTACCAGCTGCAGATCTTTGGTAAGTGACCGATATCGCGCATAACCTTGCATTATAGCGCACTAAGATTTTGTGTTGGTAACTTTGAATCATTATTATATCCTCTGCAGTAAGTAATAGAGGGAACCTTGCCATCAAACTTGTTAAGTCTCACTTTTACAACATCTTACTTCAATAAAAACACTTTTGCTGATATCTTTGGCGGTGGTTCTTTAAGCGGTCAAAATCACCCACATGTGACAAGGTGCCAGCAGATGGTACCCAATATCTAACAGCTTTGGGATTAAGAATGACTACTGAAATACATTTTTTTTGTGAATTCTGCTTGGCTTCTGGTTGCTGTTTACATCAAGTCTTATCATGCATATATGGGCTTCACAACAGAACTTTATAGGATCCCTGTGTACAGAACCATGATGTTTTGAAATCAGGAAGGGAAGAAAGGTTACTTTAGTCTGGAACTTATTGATACCAGTCATTGACCTAAAGACTAAACAGGCCACAAAGATACCTATTTCCAAACCCTGACAAGGCTGTTTAGCTCTGTGTAAGATGCAGTTGCAAGATGAACAGGGTAGAGAAAGGATAGAGTAGCACAAGGCTCTCCAGGCTTGTGACTTGGAATACATACTGCAGATCAATGCCACTGGCAAAGCTGTAACCGTGTTAAGCCTGTCCCAGAAAATTCACTCCAGCCTCTATGCGACTGAAGAAAAAAAAATGAATTAAGGATACAAGTGGATCCAGTTGACACTTGTCTCAAAACAGAAAAGCTAAAAAGCAATCGCAGGATGAGATAATTGTTAGCATAGCTTTTTGGACTTTAAGGTATTTGCAGAGGGCATTAAATTGACCCTAGGATTTAAAAAAAAAAAAAAAATCCAGGCATAAGATACTCTCATCTGCCAGTTATATCAACAGAAACCTCCTGGGTGTAGCCCAAATCTCACTGGGTCTGCTTACAGCATCTACATTCTGCTCTCATCCTAGAGGTCCAGACCATTTATACAGTAAATGAGGAAAATCAGGTATCTTTGGAGGGAGATTGTCAGCACTGCAACAAATACTAGTTATTTTCCTTCCAAATTTGTTTCCTAAGGTACCTTCAGTCTCCCTCTGGAGAAGTCTAAAGTATGAATCATTACCAATATAATAAAAAGAGACCTCTTTATGTCATTACTTACATTTGGCTAGAAACATACGTTCCTGATCTCAGCATTAAAAAAAATGAAAACCAAACACATGAGAAATACCTCAACAAAGACTGTCTTAGAAACTTGTTTTTTAAGTACCTGAGCAGCTTTTAAGAACTGCCAAAAACAACTGCAAGCCCTATCTAGCCACCCTATAATGTATACTGGGAGCATACCAGGGGCAGGATTCCTCTGTTCAACTAGAGACATCTACAGCAGTGATACCTATGTCTCACTAACAGTTCCATACTTCCTTGATTGTCAGTGGAAAGTAAGAGGCACTTCAAAAGTGCAATTCATTTAATACTGAAGTAGATGTCTCAAGTAAGAAGGATGAAACAGTGTAGAACTATTTCCGTAACAAAGACATCTGAAGTTTGGTCAGTGAATTCCATCCTCTACAGCCTCCTATAAGCAACAGAAGACAAGGAACTTTTTTTTTTTTATAAATATAGTCTTCACTGACATTTATTCAGCAAAGCAAGATATCTTCTGCATGTATGTGAGTTCCACAGGGGTCCAGTCCTTCCCTCCTAACAAAATACTAGAAGAGGTACTTATATCCTGTAATTGTGCATGTATGCACAGGTGTCTCAACAGCTGCATTAGCCTGTGCATTTCCATAGCAGGTCCTAAGATGTATGTAAAAGGCATTGTATCTACTGTAGACCAGGGCTGAAGTTCCAAAGCTCTTTAGTGATCAGAGACCCTGACTTACAATTTCAGATCTGGCCGAGTCAATGATTTGCAATATGCTTTAGGCCTTTAAATGATTAGAACTCCAAAAAAACGAAGCATTTACGCCAGTAATCTTATTTCAGTCCCTCAAATAACACTGTCAAGGCTTTTCCTGTGTATTTTATGAGCTACAAGTAGTTAATGGGCACCTAGAGCACTGCTTTCAAGCAGTTAACAGATCTACATACAAAACAAGAAACCAGACATTAATTCATGTAACAACTGCAAAAAAATGCTCAAATTATTGTATTTACTCCTGCTGTCAAACTGCAGTCTGTATGTATGAGTGCATTTCTTACCCGATCACCCTTACCACCAGGTAGGCCTGGAGGACCTGGCAGTCCAGGAAGTCCAATATCACCCTGGGGACCCTGTGAAAATAAATCAATGGTGTAAACTTACCCAATCTGTTTTAGAACGAACAACTAAGGGTCATACCCTGACAACCACATGGGACAGAATCTTATTCCCAGAATAGTCCTAACTTGATGAAAGAGGATTATCTGACGAAAATAGAGCTGATCCAAAATACAGGCCTTTAAACAGCTTCTTACTATGACTTCATTGCTGACAAACACAACAGAAATGGCTTACAGAGCTTTCCACCCTCCGGTCCGTCGACAACAGTATGGTTCTCTTAAAAATACTTCCTAAGATCTTGCACTCTGTGATTTGCACATTCCTCTGTAACAGCAGGCTCTTTCAGCCAAAAACTCCCCAGCTATGCTTCTGACTGTTACTGTGTAAATACTCCTGGAGCACTGGTAAAAGGTGGCATTCATAATCTGCTCCATTCATTAGTTTCACGTAGCTGTTAGCAGAAAGACGGTCTTTCACTGCTCCGGTTCCCCAAGTACACGCAGCCCACACAGGAGTGTGCTACCCAACTTTGCACATCACAGGATTTATGTTTTTTTAAACAGAAGAAAAAGTCCCACACATCTCTATATATTTCAGAACAGCATTTGCTAATATTAGCACAGTCACAGAGGACTGAAAAAGAAACTCAACAATCCCTTGTTTCTATGTTATTTTGAGTTCCCTGCATGGTTAAATGGGTAAGTGTCGTTCCAGGTGATACCATAGCTCCTTGAAAGTAAACATGAGCACTGAATATGGAAATAAACTGCTTACCCATTTTCCTGGTAAACCTGGAGGACCCACAGGACCTGGCTCCCCTCTGCTACCCTACAGGAAATAGAAGGACACCATTACTTCCTGAAATATTTCCTGTGAACAGGGAATAAATAATGATTTTTTTTTCTTAATATTTAGTGAATTACACTACTTAGAAGTTGGCTTTAATCAGGACTTCTGTTTATTAGTGCAAAAATATCACATGCATTAAAAACAGTGAAACTTCCTGAGAAATATAAGTATTTTTAGTTAACAATGGTATACAATATATAGTTGGCATGATATGATTCAAGTAATTCATTCTGCTGAGTGGTTATGCACAATCAAGTCTCCTTCATGGGATCGCACCTGAGAGTTACCCATTACGAACACATTTACTTCACTAAGACAACTCTGATGCGCATGCCTAGCTTTAAGCTTTTGCTTAGTTTCATCAACTGAACTCCCACATGACCACATACCTAAAAGCCCATGATCCCACACTGGCAGTGGACAAATGTGAAAAGTGTGTGCAGAAGTCATGCTTAACAAACCCATTTAGGTTAAAAAAAAGTCTAGGCTGTTGAAGAGAAGGGTAACCTTTAAAAATCCCCTTTCATAAAGTAGTGATAAGTATAAATATGCTTTTTACTGGATGTTTTCTTTATATATTCACTTCAGATAGGTTTATCCATTCAGATCACCATATTCACATTAGTGTTATAACTCCATCTCTTAATGCAGCCATTTGAACATAGACTCTGGGTAAGCCTGACATTGAGTCAAATATTCAAAAATTTTAAACAATTTTTGAACTAAAGTACCTTTCTCTAAAGGGTTTTGTCTCTTACGATTAAACCTTTCAGAACAGCTCAGTAACTTTTATACATTTACTCTCACCTGTACAGATATATACCTGTACAGATAAATTGAAACACTTTCCCAACACAAGCCTAAGTCTCACTTGAGATACTTTTCTTACTTCCACTGTGTGAATCCATAAGGGGTACTTGCTATAAAAGCATGATATAGCATTTAAGATCATAAAATATCAAGAATTGAAGTTATTAAATATGTAAGTAGATAACCTGTTATATATACCTTAGACAATTTTGGATAAAAGCAGGTCTAAGCATTCTAGTGCTGTATACAATGGGTAATTTTAAATATAGACATTTTCTTCATAACAAGAAAAATGCTGTGAAATACTGTGACATACTGAACAACAAAAGGAGATGGCAGACATGGCCTTTTACACTAGGTCATAAATGCAACGACAACTTCTCACACAAGCTTAGGAAAACTAACTCTACAATTCAGAAAATAATTAGGTATCCTGGAGAGATCAGAGAACCAATCATAAACAGACTTTCCCATTCATTTCCTTCAAAATATCCTACGGTGTTAAAATTACTATTCTTTAAAGCACTTTGCGTAATTTCTCAAAGCTTTTTTATGTTAAAAAAATAAAAAAAGAAAAAAGCCCCCCAAATCACCTTCATCTTACAACCCAGAAGATGCATTAACCTTTCTGAAAATCTGTTATTTAATCACATGATTCTGTACTACATCTCTGACCTGGAATACTACTACATTTCTGATGCAGGAAAGAGAAGGATTAAAATTCTGATCAGTATTAGAAACTCGTCTCCTCGCATATGTCATAGCATTCACGTCTGATTGCTATATAGCTATAAAACAAAAGCAATGTCACCTTCCATGGAGTTAAAATCATATAATAAATCTCCTAAGCACATCAAAAGTTCTGCTGGTCATACAGAATGCAAGAAAAATCTTCCATTCCATTTTAAATGCAAAAAATTATTTTGTCAAATATACACTACAGTCACTTTTTCAAACACCAATGCTTTTCTAAGGTGGTAAAAAGAAGGTTAGCCTACAGAAGACTGGAATACAAAAGGATAGTGTTTCCCATAATCATTAACATTATGTCTGTAAGGACAGACTACTTCAAACTAAGGGCCACCACTGCAAGATCTGCAGGAGTTGTGTTTTAGCAAGTAAGAGGGGAACTGTAACCCAAAGAACAATCAGGAATCCCACTGGCCCATGGCATAACTTAAAAGACTGTAAAGGTTCCTCCAAGTTATACCTGACTGAAATGGCCCTGGGATAGGATTCACATTGAGCTAGCTATTCTTGGTTCCCTTCATAGGGGATGAAGAAAAAAAGGCATCTTGAAATGTCCTCATGTAAACATTTAAAATACATCCCGAGTCATGTCCTAGAAGCATCTACATTCTCCCCACAGCCTATAAGAGGGTTTTTGTAATAACTGGTTCAGCTGTTGACATCTGTACTTGGTCAGATGAAACCTTCCTCTGTGCTCTAAGTTACTCATAGGCAATAATCAGGACAGAAAGCAGTTTGGCCATGTCCTCAGCCTACCTTTCTTACACAGCGGCCCTATATATAACACAGTCCATAGTTGCAGGCCACTCACAAATCAATAGGCATGTTGCACTGGTTTTAACAAAAAAAGGACCAGAATCTCTATGTTTTATGCATTTTTGACACACTTCAAAATTCCTACTTTTCCTAGAGGTGGAACACTTGAAGAGGGAAAGTAGCTACTCTCTTTTAGAGTGAGCTGGGACAGATCAGCTTGCACCCATGCTCATAGACTTTCCTGGCCTACAATGAAGGGAGGCAATGTGCAGACTACCACTGAAAATGGCCTCTGAAGAACTCCAAAGCTTGGCCACTGCCCAGAGATTGTTTCAATGATGTTAGACAGTGCAGACCAAAAGCATGTCCAGAACTGCTCCAGTACTTTAACAGTATAGATAATTGATTTCTGTTAAGTATACTTTTGCTTAGCATGTGAGTACTGCTGAGGACAGGGTCATTCTCCCAAAGGACGGCAAGGCACATGTGAAATTGTAGGGTGTGAAATGGTAGTACAGCACCGCAATACCACAATGCAGCCCTGCCACAGCTGATGTGCTAGACCGTGGCTGCAACAGAATCTACCTTCCCTTCGTTCCAAAGCAGGATTGCTGGACCACTCAATACATTTAAATGAAGATTTAATGTCTCTCTCACAGTTCTATATTTAGCCTTTGAATGTAACATACATAAGGGGACATTACAGGATTTACAGTAGACCTTCCTTTAGGTTGTCTGGGATAGTTTTCATCCTCACTGAAATTTTGAAGATTTGATTCTTTTCTAGTATTCCCACAAGCAGTTACAGAATGCATTCTCATGCTAAAACAGTTTCTTTCACTGATTTATTGATTTCCTGTTGACCAACTGAGTGGAACAATAATAAGAATGCAAATATTCCCCAGGTAATTTGCATCTTGCTTAGCTGCCTAGATGATCAAAACACTAATTAGAATCTCTTGACAGGTAATTCACAGTGTATACGGTAATAAACTCTCCTCTACTTAAGAACTTTGTTTTTATAATACGTCATACCAATTTTAGTATATTCAATAGCAGTGCCATAGAGAATTAAATCTGTGCAGAATATAAAAGAATAAAAAAGTACATTTTGGAATGAAGAGTAAATATACAGCAAACTTTCTCTGAGATTTTAAATGCACCTTTGCACCTTTCTCAGAGTAATAAATTGTATGGCTTGGGATAATGGTAAGAGATAGCTGTAGTATGAAATGTACCTTCCTCTTAACGGTGTCATGCCTTGGGCACAAGCAGCAGCCCAATAGCTGCCATTCTCATCAAGGGTGATACTGTGGCCAAGTATAAAGGACACAGACCTTTCATACTGGCTGCATCTATAGTGTTAACTGAAGTCTAGGACAGCTTTAGGACACTAACTCCACAACAAGTGCATTTTTTACCCAGGTTACTGTCTACACTGCTTAGAAGAAGCCAACTTTGGAATATCTGCTGACATCCAGAGGTCTAGAATGCCCAAAGTCAAAGGAAGCTGTTGTTGGAGGTGGAGGGGTAAAGAGTGACATAGCAGACAGGAATCTGACCATGCGGTTTGGAAAGACAGGGATGGATAGTATGAGAACTGGAGAGGCTTGGAGATACTAATCAGGTTTGGCTGGGATGTGTAGACTGTGAGTGAGAGAGGAGAAAGTGCTACCCCGTACACTGCACGCCGCAGAATTGTGCAAGGTCAGAAAGTTTAGTCACATCCACCTAGATGCCTAGGTTTACTGGATAAAAAGTATACCTGGCAGGATGGAAATCCACTTTGTTCTTTCGATTCTGCTATAGACTGTGCAATGCTAACCTCTTTAGCTGTAGCTTAAATGTAAACTATGACTCACCACTTGTGGAACACCTCTGAAACTATATACACAAAACATGCACACTAATACCTAAACATATCATATAAACTGAGGCAAGGACATTTCATCCTACAACACCACCAATACCACTACACCAATATCAACTATGGAAAATGACCCATTATTTCAGTTGGAGTCATGTAAAAAGAATATGATAGAAAAGCTAGATTTTAGTTATAACTGTAATCAAAGATATATTTCAGGGTAGGTAAGACAAAAATATCTTTAAAGACTCAGAAAGTTATTTAGCCCAAAGTAATTTAAGATGCTGAAAACAGTATTCTCATCTAACTTCTGGTTGCCTGACATTTTGGTACCAAATCCAAGGTACTCTCCAGGCTCCCTCTTTATAATGAGCAGAGTCACCTCCAAAGAGCAAGTCAGCCCAACCAAGCGGGGCCCCTCAGAAGTCTCTCAGAGGGGGCTACGGTATCAAATCTTAGGCAGCTAGATACTTAACCTCCATTACTAATATTAGGAAAACATGTATTGCATCCTAAATCCTTAACAACACATACATGCTGGCATACATATAAATCAAGTTTGCTCCATTTGCTATGCAAGTAGTGAACTTCAAATTAAATTGTCACTTAAATGTTCCAAGCTCTCTTTTCCCTGCAAAACCACAGGATGGGATACATGTTCTCCAAATGTTAGCAATTTAAAGGTTAAATAGCTGAATAAAAGCAAGGGATGAAAAAAGCAGGGGAAGGGGTCAGTATTTTCTGCAGACACAATATGAAAAATTAAATCTTACTAAATCTCAGCAAATACGAAAGAAAATGGTTAAGCAGCTTAGGGAGCATGGCTAAATTCCACTGATTAGGAATGACACTCTGATGTTTGAGAATTGCTTCCTTTGGACCACCTGCCATGATGACTGGTTTAGAAAGGTTTAAATCACAAATGAGTTTGGTAATTACTTGGATTGCCTAGCATAACATGAAGCAAACATAAGGTTAACCGACAAAACAATTAGAGTGGAATGGGAATATGTTTGATTTAGAAACAAAAGACATAATTTCCATGTTGCTCCAGTTGTTTTTTCTGTTTTATTGAACAGATGAATAGTGAACTAAATAAACAAAAGTAATTTTTTTTTTCCCCACTCAGGTGCCAACTTAAGTTTTTTAAGAAAAAGCATGATAGACCAAAGTAGTACTTTTGAAAGTAATTTTCTCCTAGGGAACTCTGTCAACAGTGAGGTAAGAGTCTGCCAACACATGAGTCTGCCTATTTTTAATTAGAGCTAGTTATTTTGTTTTCAACCATTTAATATCTTTCCTGTGAAACTGTAAATGTTTAGACTCGCAAAAGGCCAAAATTTGAGTCTGCTGCTTAGTAACAATACCGTTCCAACTACATTCCAAGAGTTGCTTAATAATGAAAATAATATTGAAATAACATGGTTTATGCCAGAGGACGCTACAGGCTATTTGGTAAACAGTATAGAAGTATTAATTTGTCCCACAGAGTCACTGATGATTGCTTAATAGCACTCCATTGTGTAATGCCTCAAAAAACTATACACTGGTTGAAGTGAAAATTTTCATAGAATCATAGAATTGTTTAGGTTGGAAAAGACCTTTAAGATCATCCAGTCCAACCATTAACCTACACCACCAAGTCCACACTAAACCAATTAAGGGTAGGCTAGACTAAACCATGTCCCGAAGTGCCACAGCTACCCGTTTTTTGAACACTTCCAGGGATGGTGACTCCACCACCCCTCTGGGCAGCCTGTTCCAATGCTTGACTACCCTTTCCATGAAGACATTTTTCCTAATATCCAACCTAAACCTCCCCTGGCGCAGCATGAGCCCATTTCCTCTTGTCCTATCATTAAGTACTTGGGAGAAGAGACCAACACCCACCTCACTACAACCTCCTTTCAGGTAGCTGTAGAGGGCGATAAGGTCTCCCTTCAGCCTCCTCTTCTCCAGGCTAAACAACCCCAGTTCCCTCAGCCGCTCCTCATAAGGCCTGTGCTCCACACCCTTCACCAGCCTTGTTGCCCTTCTCTGGACACGCTCCAGCACCTCAATGTCTTTCTTGTAGTGAGGGGCCCAAAACTGGACACAGGATTCCAGGTGTGGCCTCACCAGCGCCGAGTACAGGGGGACAATCACCTCCCTGCTCCTGCTGGCCACACTATTCCTGATACAAGCCAGGATGCTGTTGGCCTTCTTGGCCACCTGGGCACACTGCTGGCTCATGTTCAGCCGGCTGTCGACCAACGCCCCCAGGTGTTTCTCGCAAAGAGATGTCTTTTGCAAGAAGCTAAAGCTGAAAAAAGTCAGGCAATTTTTTAATATAAGACAAATGTGGGCATGTTATTTTTCCCTAATGCAGATACCAGCCTGCTGCCCATATTAGCAGAGTCAGCCTTGTTATCCCCCCACAAAGCATCACTGGGGGTCCTTTCCTCTACAGTTCTGGCCCTCCTGGAGCTAGCAGCCACGCTGTCTTTCCCCAGTAGTGATGTGAAGGACAGGGGTAAGTGAAATGGGAAAGTGAAGAGGATCTCTCATGTGGCTGCTGCCATTCAACAATACATTAAGGGACTGAAGTTCTCCATATCCTGCAAAACATCAAAGTTTTTTCCAACTCCAAGGAAGAAGCCCAGCCCCTCTTGACTTCTATCTCAGTCTTCTATTACCAAGAGGGAAATGGAACAAAGGGTAAAGAAGAAAGAAAATGCTGAGGTGAGTGCTGAAGAGGGTAATTCAAAATAGAAAGGAAAAGGACAAGAAAAATACCTGAATAGTAACCATAAAATCCTCAGGTTTCAAAAGTGTTTGGTTATAAAACTTTGGTCAAAAACTACCAAATGTTAAAGTTGTGAGAAAATTCCAAAATCTGAAAAAATACAAAAATATTCACACAAAAAATTCTCTTTAGAGCAATTATGAAAGATTTTCTCAACGTATTTTCAAAATTTCTAGTTTTAGAAGTTTGAAAATCATGGCATGTAGAATTATTTAATTGGCAGAATTCTTTTTCCTGGAAATGTAAGGGCAGTCCTAAAAGCTGAGGCTTAAATATGTCTACTACATGTACATGCTGCAGAAGAAAGAGAAAACATTCTTTATTCTGCCCTGAAAATAAATACAAACTCAACTTGGACCAAAGCTCACTGAGGTTCAATAATCCAATCCTGTGTCCTTCCTGAACAAAAAATCCTGATGATTCCAGTTTTTTGTGTAGAAGTGATGTTTTTTCCACTGTTCCCAAAAAGAAAACAGAAAGCCATTACAGTGATATGCTGCCTGTAGTCTTGAGCAGAAGGAAGATAAACATAGTTGTTATTCAAGGCTCTTTATAGCTTTAAAGGAACTACAGATAAGAAGTAGATTACTGTTTAATGCAAACTTACTTTATTATCAATAATTTATTTCCTTTCGCCATTTTATATTGACCATTTTTTTTATTTCTCCATTTTGTATTTTGCATTGAAAGTTTTTTCTTTCTATGCTTTTGTTCTAGTGTTCACATGTTTTCCAAAATGAGTTCACTTTGGAAAGACAGAGAAAATAAAGGTAAGATATCCAGATGTCTTGCTGGTCTCTAGAGTGATAAACAAAAAAATCATTGTATTTAATCTGCATTAAGTATTTCTGTCCGACTACAGGGTTACTAATAATTAACCTTGCGTGTCAACTCCTGTTCTATGGACTGCTGATTTTGTAAATTCATGTTCACATTGAAAGGATTAAAAGCATAGTTTAGCAGATCACAGTGCATTATCAGAGTGGGCAATTACTGTGGTCTGATTCAATTATAAGTTTTATTCCTGTTAAAAGTATACAAAATATCATCTCAAGAAGAACAGGGCTGAAAACTTTTTCTAGTGCACCCAACACTTTTAAACACAAATGACAAAAATAAATGTTTGCCAGCTGGATATATGGGAGGCTGAAGATACCTGTATTCCATCCTAGTAAGTATATGCTCATATAATCCCCTTTTTATATCATTCATAGGCAGCTGCGGACACAGCACTCATACAAAGATTCAGTCTAAAATAAACATGATCTCATGAATTAATGCATCTAGCACATGATAATGCAAACCATAGAAGAAAACAGAAGAAAATTAAACCTGTTACTTGGCTGACTGCTGCTTATATTTAAGAGTTAATTCAGAGAAGATATTCCTGACCTGTGAAATACCCTTACAAATATATCCCTATCAGAAACTCTCTAAGCCCTGTATGAGGATAACCCTACAACTGCATGAGTAAAACTGTTATGTCACTGTCTGATAGCAGAAGCTCAGAAAATTCCAGGAAAGTATCCCTAGGGTATCAGTGGCAACACAGAAGCTTGCAAAAGCAATTGGTTACAGAGCCTGGAGCATTGTCAATGTCGTCAGACTGAATTTTGGTATATGAAAAGTTTCTTCAAGTCACTGACCCTCTCATCCCTCACAGAAGGATTAAGAGCAAAGGGAAATTGGATTAGCCTTATGTAACTTCAATGCATGCCAGGTCCACTCTAGAGGGAATCAGAAATCTGTACCCAGCAGACTCTCTAGTACCCCAAGCATGCCTCAGGAACAGTTGTCCTTTGTCTTCAACACTGAGCCTTAGCAAAGGCCATCAGTTTACTTTCCTCAGCACATTTATTTCCTGCAGCAAGCTGCGTGCCCAGCAACGATTCCTCCAGTATTCCGAATCTTTCTAATGTTAAGGCAAATCTCCAGTGAAAGAAACTACAACATCAATGTTCCCAAGTAAATGCTACACTTCACATCACTATAGCTACATTCATAATACCAACAAGAAAGGGCCAAGGCACAGGCCCGAGCAGCATCCCACCATCATCCACAATAAATGGTTAGCATGCTTTTGTCTCAGGAGAACTGGAGTTTCCTAGATAATGCCCAAGAACAGTTTTGGGAACACAGGCAAGAGACTGTTCCCAATATGCAACTTGACTGCACCCAGCCTGCTCTTAGACATGAGCGGGTGTTAAGGGAGTTTAGCAGTATGGAGACAAACCACGCCATGCCAGTTGACCAAGGGGGCTGAGGACAGTCTCTAGCCATTTTCTTTACTAGGCAGGACAGACAGTAAACTACCTTTCCTTCATACCTTGCCTCACTGTTCACATTGGCGTGTGTTAGAAATAGGTCTTAGCCAAAAAGATTCATGTTCTGAATGCTTAGTCCAAATTTCAAAACCTCGTAATATACAGCTAAGCTTTCTAATATACAGAACAAGCTTCTTTAAGAGGCTGAAACAGTTAAAGGAAAGAGCAAGTGATCTACTGACAGCTAGTGAATTTAAGCTTTTCAACACCAGTTGTGGGAGTTGACTGTTGCAGTGGAAGAACAGGAGTTTGGTTCCAGCTTTTTGTCACAAACCACCCTCATTCCCTGTGTCTGGGATTTTACTCAGCATATTTAAAAACAAAGACCAGAAGAATATAAAAAAAGGTTTAAAGTTTATCACCAAAGCCAGAAACAGTCACAGGACATGTGCTTCTGGATTTCTCTATGTCATGATACACATCCACCTGGTACAGAAAGGGGTTAAAGGACACCTAGTATTTACCTTAAAAATTAGCACTTGTGCTGAATAATACTTTTACCTCATGGTTAGCTTCAGCAACCATAACTTGAGACACTGCAATATAACATACGCTCAGTTAGAAATTTATTCAATACTTACTGGTGGTCCCCGGGGTCCTGTTGGACCTGCTTCTCCCTCTGGCCCCTGTTCCCCCTGTTTTGGGGATAGAAAAAATATAATAAATTTGAAAAGTGATTTTTTGCACAATGCAAGATTTTGCATTTTTCTAGATCTTTTGAATAAGATTAATGATCTTACCGGTTTACCAGAATTTCCCATCAAACCTGGCACCCCAGGGCGACCTCTATTACCCTGTTGGACAAAAGACGAAAAATATTAGCCAAGCCAATGGTTTACTGTTCCATTTTAAAATAAAATATAAGGAAATCAATAAGGTCTATAAAAATCAGCCCGTATTCATTTTTTAACTTCCACTTTTATTCTGGTTTTCATTTAACTTTCACCTAATTCCTTCTATCTAATTTTTCAAAAGTCAAATTTCAGTTCTTTTGTTGTTTACATACTGACAAATCCCAAGTAGACTTGATTGCTGCTCTCATATCACAGAATGGTATCACTCGGTGTAATTTCAGAAGAAATCCACATCTCAACCTAGTGTTTTTTTTTCAATTACTTAAAACGAAACTCAAACATTATTGTCTGAAACTTTCCATAATCCCAATCATATAATACTTTTTCAAACTTAATTGGAATTGGTGCTGCAATTTGGTGGTACTTAAATAGAGATGTCAACCTGTGATTCAATCAACTTAGGGCAGCTATAAGATTATTCTTATTATGAGATCCCTCATTTCAAACTGTAGTGAGATACCCATGTCACATGCCTCCTCTAGCAATGACTTCCACAAATGTAAAAGAAAATGGCCTTTTTTAGGTCTTATTTAATGCCTGGAATCAGGAAAACCACATCATGTAGCAAAAAAATCATGAAAAAGCACAGGAGTAGACTCAAAGCGAAAGGCTTGTCTCTTACCACAACGGAAAGTTAATATAATTTCACTGAATAGTTTAGAACTTGATAAGCGCAAATACAATATTATAAGAAAGTCAATACTCAAGATTATTTACCTTTGGGCCAGGAATGCCTTTCACACCTGGAGAGCCTGGTAATCCCTGAAAGAAATAACATTTACAGAGTTTATTTGTTGTTAAGGGGATTGGAAATGGTGTTAAAAACCATCTTTCTCCTGGTAAAGTATTTCCAGTCCTTTTACTTGATACTGAAGCACTTTTATCCAGTAACATACCAAGCTTGAATTCTTTCTATTTACAAAGTAACAGATAAGAGCATTATTCCTACTTTATAAACTGGCAAAAGGAGGAGGGAAAAGTGAGGAGCTGTGGCTTTTTCTGGCTTAGACTAGAAATAGATTCTTAGTCCCAGTATTCTGAGACTGGAGATAGACAGTTTAACGGATACTTTTTGTATACATTTCATCCCCTACTCATTTCTGTGCAACAGCTGATAGCAAGTATGGTTTTACCAAATTTTCTTCCAAGCTTAAGAGCTCACTTCACATTACAAATTTACTTCCAGTTCTGTTTTAATACAGCTCTTTCATTATATCCTCACAGCAATTACTCCTATAGCATAAGAAGTTTCTATTTCACTTTTGACAATTGGCACAGTTTTCAAACTCACTCAGTTAATGTGCGAGGATTACGTTCTAAAAGAGTCTATAAAGCACTGCTGATTCCCTATAACTTCACCACAGGCAATACACTAGAAAACTGCCCCCTCCCCCTGCCCCCCGCAGAAAGAAGTATGAGTGTGATGCATTCCAGATGTTCTGAGCCAGCAGAATACCAAAAGGAGATGATTGTTCATCTAAGGTACGTTAGACTAGCAGGTCAGCTCTTCCAGCTCACCCTGGGAATAGGTTTGGCCCCAGTCAATACAACGAGACCAGATCTAATTGTGGGGTCACACCATGATATCCACAGGGTCTCAGATATAAGAAACCCTGAAAGAACTGCACACTGGCCACAGACGTTTTGTAAGACCGAGTCCCTCACTACGGTACCATGAGGAGATTTAGGCTTTTGTGCAAAAGTTTTGGATACACATAGCAGAATTTCCCCTTGCATTACAAATACTCTTCCTGGGCCTTTTGCTTAGGTTTTCACTTAAATTACTCCAACATCGGCATCAAACTAACCGACATATAGCCTTTCTGTGGTTTGAACTGAGCCTAACTTTCAAAGGTAAAATACCAGATACTTACTGGCAGTCCCTGAAGCCCTGCATCACCTGGAGCTCCGGGTTTTCCTGGTTCACCCTGAAAAACATTTTAAGTTGTAATTTATGCAAATCAAACAGAAGGGAAAATGTTATTTCTGGAACACAGACCTGGAGTACTTTTGGATCTGTAGGACAGGACAGTTCATTCAATTACCCTGATAATGTGCATAAAGCCACGGGCAGCAGCACAATAAAAAGCCACAAATGAGTGAACGAATCTAGGGCACTACCAAAGCTTAGATATATGCCAACTGTGCCTTACTTTTGCTCCAGGCATTCCAGGGATCCCTTCCCGGCCATCAACTCCTGGTAAGCCCTTGAAAGAAATAAAAAAAAAATTATAAAAAGAAAAAAGAAAAAGAAAAAAAATATTGTTGGAGAGATTTCACCCAAGCACTCTGATATACAAATTATCATTACATGAAGCAAATGAAGAAATGAAATATACATACAGACTCTCCTTTAGGCCCAGGGAGACCATTTATTCCTCTTGTACCTTGAGGGCCCTAAGAATAATAATAATTTAAAAAAATGAAAATAAACACATTGAAATGACAGATGCAAAGAATGTCAACACATACTCATTCAGATATGCATTGCTTTGAGAGTACCAATTATGCTGTATGTTTATATGCTATTAAGTAACCAATGTTTTCAAGTCTACATAAATTGAAATTTGTCTGTGCTCACCCTTTCTCCCTTCGGACCTGCCTCTCCCAGCGAGCCTCTTTGTCCTTGATCCCCCTACAAAAAAAAAAAAAAATTATTTTAGCAATAAAACCAGAATAAACTTACTTGCATTATTAGCTAAAACCTGCAGTAAATCAACAACAGTACAATTCACAGTTGGTTAAAGCAGATATCTTAGACTCATACTATGTTTAAAAATGCAGTTTCTTAAAACTGCAGCTGGCAGCTACATTTTAAAAAACACAGCTCAAGCCATCCCCTAAGGATGTCTAAGCAAAAGATGTTGCACTCACTTCTTCAATCCATACAGTTACTGGCTATTCCAAACATAAATTCCAGCTGGGGGGGGTGGTGGTGGTGGTGTGGGCAGGGAGCAGGGAAGAATTAAAAAAAAAGGAGGCAATTGTCAATTGCCGTGTACAGGTTTTGTTCTAATGAATGAATATTTTCCAGTTTAAAACCTGAAAAATTCCAAGCCACCCTAATGCACAGTAGCACTCAGAATTAAGAGGTAACCATAACATACTAAAGAGGCTAAAATGTGTTCATCTACCCCATAATTCCTTGGGGACAGTAAGAGATTCTGGACTTGACCACTGTCATCATTTATTCATCTGAGGGGAATCAATGGAATTGGATTAATCAAAGGTTTTTCTGATTCACAGACACAAAATTTCAGGACTTGGTATCTAACTGGGTAGACCCTGGGAAGGGTTTGGCTAACACACACTTTACTTACAGGTGCACCAGGAAGACCTTGGGGACCAGGCTCACCATCAGGTCCACGAGCTCCCTACATAACAAGTAGATAACACAAGACATTAAGAAAAAGTGCTGAATCTCTAAGAACTTGTGCTGCCTCCTGGTTTGCTGGGAGATGCAACTTTACAGCTGAGGTTTTTTATAGTTCTAACTTTAAAAAAAAAAAAAACAAAAAAACAAGAATTTTGGCAAACTTTGTTTTTTACTCTGTCTTAGTTTCTTGTGGAGTTACAAAAGCCAGTATTTTTTAACTATGGAAAAATGTCATTCAAAAAATGACATTCAGTTCATTCTCAAAAAAAAAATCATACCAGACAGTGAAGAGGTAGACCTTTAGACCTTTTCATGTTACTTCAGAAAATGTCTGTGTCGTCCTTAATAATACTATAAATTTCACCACATAATAGGAATAGCACCAAAGTGTGAATAGAAATCATCAAGTGCAGCACAGCTATTTTTATCACATATGTTTCAAGGAAACAATGCAATCACTACCCTGAAAGTAATTTTAAAGAAGAGGGAAAAAAAAAATGTTTTCAAAAAGATTTACAGAGAATAAGGAACTCCTTTGTCAAACAGATGTAGTAAACATTTCAAACAGACAAAACAGCACAAAAATAAATGTAGGCAAGTAACTATGAAGAATTAGAAGATATAAAGAAGGCCAGAAAAGCAAAGTAAGACAGTAATAGCTTCACAAATGTGTCTGAGAGGTTAGGAAGGATCACCCATGAGAAGATTCATAACCAGGACAAATTTAATGTTGTTTCTGAACATACATGATCACAGAATAAGGTTGCCATGATTTCATTTCTGGAGAAGGAGACAATGGCATGATTGCTACATTTTATTCTTTCCAGAAATTTTTACCATATAGATTTAGCAAGATCGTAAGAATAGAAATGTAACAGTCAGTTTTGAAATAACAGTTAAAAACTCTTTGATGAACAGCAGGGAAATTACCCAGCAAAGTCAGAGCCCATATAAACATGAATCCCACTGGAAGCGATTTAAGACACAAAAGATGCAAGAGACAGAAAGAATGGAGAACGAACAAACTCTCAATAAAAAACTCTGACAAAAACTGGGACAGTGGAAGCAAAAGACTTCAGGACGATGCAAATCACAGGAGGGACTACTTAATACATTTTAGCTTTAAATAAAACATGCTATAGTTTATAGCTGCTGTAACTTGCTATCTCGCTAACTACATACTTGCACACATGCCAAACTCCTATAAATCCAAGGATCAGAGGGAAAGGTGTGAAGAGTACGTGCACTTCATTAATCAGAAGGACCAAGCTGCCTTACTTCCTAGCCAGAAGTACAGTAGCTATGGAAATAGAGCTGGCAGGAGTGAGAAAATGCAGGGGGGAAAAGGAGAATTTTAATAAGCTTTAAAAAGATTCAGGGGTGTACATTTTTTTTTTATCCAGGCCATTTTATGGAAAGAAAGGTTAATACTCACTTTGGTACCTTTAGGTCCCATTATACCAGTTATACCTCTGATACCTAGGATGCCCTAAAAATGAAAAGTATATTCAAATTATGCTTAAATCTTTTAATCAGAACTGTCCTAGTTTTCAGACAGAAGACTCAAGAGTTCTACATGCTTTCTTCATGCTTATTTTACTACTTTCTTAGTATAAAAGGAAAAATCCAGCTACTTCTCCATTAGAATATTTAATTTATATGGTAATTTGGTATTTTACTAATTTAAGACTTTTTAGAAGAGTAACAAAACTATCAGGTTGAATGCTACAACCACAAATATGCCTTAAGGACTGAAAAAACCCACTGATTTCTCTTTATTACCACAGAGTTGAAGCATTCTCCCTGTGCAGCCTGTGTGAGAGGAACACATGAAGGCCAGATGTGCAAAAGTGCTAAGTTGTCTTAAGTGAGGTATAGGACAGATGCAGGAGAAAGGCACCATCAGACTTTATAGAACTCTAGAGGCAGACAAAATTGGGCAAGGTTTTTGGCAATATAAGTGCTAAGTTCATATGTCCACCACACCTGAGAGGCTGGACTGAGTAGACATCCTTGCACACAGTCTCATGGGAAATAACGGCTTCAATTTTTTCCTCTTCCTAAGAGACTGAAACTACATGATATGTCTCCTCTCTGCAGAGAGACCAAACCCTCAGCCATAACGTGTTTGTCCTGCATGAAGAATGCACTACAACTGTGTTAATGAAACAGTTACAGGCACTTCAATGCAGCATAGGCAAACCTATTCCTTGATCCGACTCCTGATGGGCAGCCCTTTTACTTGCTCCTAATGAAGCTAGATGGAATCTTGCACAGAACATTTAAAGCTTTGTCAGCCCAAAACATGAGAAAAAGCATGATAATGCAACAGTGACTACAGCAGCCCAAGAAGGGAGAGACCCACAGTCTAATCCTTGCTCCAAGATCAGAGATGGAAGCAGGCACACTGTGGTACCCACTGCTTTCTATCAAAAGCAACACCTCTCCCAGAGGTGGCTATTTTATGCAAGTCATCTTGTCAATGCATTACATAAAAGTGTTAGATTGCAGGTGCTGCTGTGGAGACCGAATTCCTAATCCCTTCTATCAATTTGAGCCTTATATTCGTTTATGCAAGAAACAGAAGAAAATACAACAGTCTACAGCCTTTCCATCTGCCCCTCTAAAGCATTGTCTATCCTCTTTTCCATAGGTTGTCTATCTGACATTACTGTCTGCATATTATGAATCCTACATTTTAATACAAAACAATTATTTTAAAGCTTATCTGTAAGCTTTCACTGGTGAAACAGTGAAGTGAAATGAGTAATGCATTTAAAAAAAAAAAAAAAAAAAGGAAAGGAAAGTCAATCTCTAATTGGTATTTAATTCCACTGTGTTATTTCACAGTGATATAAGAACATTATCAAACTGGGTTTGGCCCTTCAGACAGCAGAAGCGGCATCTTACACAAGTACTTCTTCTGCACAAGGGCCCAGGGATACTTTTTTCAGCACTGAGTATCAGAAGGATTATAGCCTTTCCTTTATTTAGTCTCTATTCCTTCTCTAGTCCTAATTCAGAGATTTATGTTGTCTTATGTTTATAGAGAATTCTGTAATTTAGGATTTGGATGTCATGCATCAAGGTAAGATCCTGTATAATATCACACCTGGACACCAATGGCATTAAAGAAATAGTTTCACACCTAGAAAAAAAGCACAAGACCCCATCAAAAAATAAACTACAGAAATTAAATATATTATGCCTAACCTCTATGCCTATTTCTCTTACTTAGAGTGACACCTTCATTCTGTTTGCTATTGCCTGTTCAGCTGTGGTAACTGTAAGAGTAGCTCCTCACAAGGAAACAAGCTGAGGAGGTATGTGCCAAAACAAAGAAGTCAGGTGAAGCAGGACAAGAAAACAATTCCAAAATCATAGGTGTGATTGAAGGCAGCTTCCTTGGCATGCAAAAAGGCAAAAAACTGAAGGGGGGAAAAAAAAAGAAAAGGTCTGTACTTCAGTGGCTGCTACTTCATCCTCAATTCTTAGTTAAGCCTCAGTTTCACAGTTAAACATGTTTTAAACATAAACACTAGTTTTGCAAGGCTGGAGTCATCAATACTGTGGAAAGGAAGGCCAGGAAAAAACCTAAACACAACACAAAATTTAGGACATGAAATACTTGTAAAAATAAGCCTTTCCATAGAAATATTTAGAGCTCTGTGCCATGCAATAATGTACCTTTTTGGAGGGACTTAAATATTTAATTCTGCCTTCACTTATAGACTATATGGCAGAATAAAGAGAAAGGTGTGTGGCATTTTTATATCTGTTTTCTTACAATAAGAAGAAAAAAGATACAACCTAATAAAGCAAATGGGTTACACTATTTAATAGGAAATACTTTACTGGAGGGCCTTGAGCTCCCACTTCACCACTGGGTCCTTGGTCCCCTTCTTCACCCTGGAAAAGCAAAATTAATACATCTATAGCTAATCCCTGCCATGCATATTACTCCCTCACCGTAGGAGGTACAATTACTACTTACTGTTTTCTGTCAGCATGTCCTGCTTGAAGGAAATCCAAATGAAGTCACACTACTTCCTCAGAATATAGACAGATACTCATTTAGGTTCGCATTCCATCCAACTATTAGCCAAAAGGGTAATTTCAAAGCAACCCCAGTATAAAGAAGAGTAATAGTATTTTACTCCTAATCTGTCATTCCTTTTTTTCTTGACGTTAGTCTCTTTAGGTTTTCATGTTCTTTCAGATTAAAAGTGTAATGAAGTTATACTCATATATGTGAATGGATTGGATACGCTAATAGCTCTGCATCACAATAACACACTGCGCTTCAGAATTTTTTTGAAGATTAAAGTAAAATGCTTTATCTGGTCAAATCCCAATTTGATTAGATAATAACCTCTCTCATACAATGACAGTGCACATTCGTGGAACGACAGTATTTACTCCCAGTTTAACTTGCAAAACCGGATTTTGGAGCATAAGACAACAGGAAAAATATAGGGGAGCTGTTTCTAATAAGTTAATATACTTTTCAGTATGCTTAGGAATAGAGAGCAGGGTATGGTGGGGGTTTTTTAAACAAAACAAAACATTTTTCTCAGATTTTTTTTCTCCTAGCATTGAAGCATAGACCAAGGCAGTGGAAAACTCCTCAACTTTTTTTACAAATATTTCAATATTAAACAAGGTTAATTCAAATGAAACACCTAAAAAGAGTTCACATTTCAGTCTTCAAGCTGAATCAGACTTGGCCCCTTTAGTGTAGTTATAATCTTTCTTTGCCTATGAACTTGTACTGTGTCCTTTCTCTCTCAAATACATTTTTCCCTCTCATTCTTCCTGTTCCTGTTACTACACAGCTGTGCCACAGAACAATTTACCTGGTAAATCCACAGAATACTTCTGCATTTAAATGTTTGGAAGTTTTCCAATTAATAAATTTGACTTCAGTTTTTGCCGTGAGTTCCATAATAATTAAATTAAATGATCAAAATAAAAAGCAGAGGAGTATGGCAGCACTGACTTCTGCATAATAAAAAATATGGAGTACAGGTGAATGAAGAATAGAGATATGCCTTTGGTTACTCCGGCATATTACGGTATGTAGTATCTCTTCATGCACCCTGGTAAAACAGTTAATAGTTCTAACAAAATCTAATACTGTGTTTGAAGACAAGGTAAAACTACTTTTAGCTTGCTATCAACAGCAGCAGTTTTTCCTCTTTTCTTTTTGTTTTTTTTTACCTTATAACCTTGTTTTCCTGGTTCACCAGACTCTCCTTTTGAACCTTTCTGTCCCTAAAATAAATTTAAAAACCAAAATAAATAATTAGAGTTTATTAAAAATTAAAATACAGAGTTTTGCAAAGCAGACAGAGACTTCTCAGGACTATCTTGCTGTTCCCTCTGCAACTCAAAGGCCTCCTCACCTATCCAGTTAACACCACATATTAAGCACCATGTTCAAAAAGATCTGTTCCTGAATTTGGCAGGGTTCTTAGACACGTTTCCAGGCAGGTTAGTATTTCTTCTTAGGTTACCCCATAACAATTTCCTCAGGCCAACAGTATTCCCAGAAACCAGCAAAGAATACATTAAAAAAATCTTAGATAAAATGAGACTCAAAAAATGTTCATTTCAATTTAGTATGTTACAGATCTCCCATGAAGAGAAAAAAAAGGAAAAAAGACTAAGGATTTGGGACAATATTTAGTTTCTGCAGTCATCAAACTACTGGTCTGCAAAGTAAATAAAGCAATCCTTCACATACTCTAATCCTTTCAGGACCACTCATAAACTTGACCATGAAGATTACAGCAGCAGTAAGAGATTTCAAGAACAAGAGGTTATTCTGGCAGTAAGGAGCTGAAATAACTCTAAGCATCTACACTGATGCAATGTTTTTTGAAATTAACAGTGAACTGTCCTTCCGTCAAGCCAGTAGTTACTCTCCCTAGTGCTCTGAGACAGTATCTCTGTAAGGAATGCTTGAACAAACGGATTCTCTTACCTTCATTCCCATTAAGCCAGCATGCCCTGGGCGGCCAGGTGGACAAGCATTGGGACACTGGAAAAGCATCCACATAGTTAGTACCACATAGGTTGAATAAGGTTGTCGGAAATTATTAAAAAAAAAAAAAAAAATGTGGACAACTATCTTACCAATGGATCACCATCTTGCAGGCCAATTGTTCCCTAAATTAGATGAAATTAATCAAAGCCAGTAAAAGAGAAATAACCAGACTTGACTCATTAGACAATATAGTCATTAGACAAAACAGAAAATACTACTATCTAAAGCTGGAATCGGAAGTATAATCAAACAAAGGATCTCCAACATGAAAAGCACCTAAACTGCAGGATTTTATTGTGGGATTGCAGGTACCTGCAAAATCCTGTCCTCTAACTTAGATCAACTTTTCTGAAAAACCAAGTATTTCTTTTGCTTTTTAAGCTGCCTAAAACATATTTTTATTAAACATAGAGCACATATATCCAAACCCCATGAATTTCCAACAGAACCCAAGACAATTTCTGTAATAAGGATAACTTTTCCTTTTCCAACATACAACCATTCAGCAAAAGATTCACATCTTTACAGAGAAAATAATCTTCCCAAAAAGTAGATGAGTGAGATGCCTGGCAGTTAGTGGAATTGCAATAAACTAGAGATCAGTGTACTACAACATGGACTCAGTGGGAGGAAAGTCATTCCTCATATTACATCAAATACTTGATGGAAGCTAACGGGAGGCTTATGAGGCATAACAGGGAGAAATATGATTTCACAGCAGCAGCTAGATTTTTTTAAAGCCCAGTGGGAGGGAGCACACTGTTTCAGAGAAAAGCACAGGGGAGTTTAAGAAATGAGTGGGTCTCCTTTCATACAGAAGGATTTAAAAAAAGCTGGAGTGGGATTGTGGCACTTCAGGAATCTAAAAAGGACAAAAATGTCAAGGAATAGAAGCAGCATACGCCAAATTTGTTTTTACTTGTTTCCTAAATATTCTTCTCCACTTTACCATTCACATTTTTTACAATGCCTCTGTCAACTCTCTGGCAACTTTAATGAAAACAAGAAAGATGGCATAAATAAAGCATATGGATTTAGGTTCTGTCCAGCAGAGGAACAGTACAGCTTTTAAAAAGACATTAGTATGACTAACACATTTCCCAGCAGTTTACATTTCACAGCACCCAGCCTCCAACGCGTCTGCCAGACATTCAGTTTTCTCTCTCTGGGCAGGTAAATAGCCGCAAGACAAAGGCATAACACACATCCCTCCTCCCAAGAGGCTTAAAGAAGATAACCATTCCCCTAGAGAGGCAAAGCACTGGTGTAAAGCTTTCTTATATCCCTTGCAAGTAGCAGGCCTGCTTGCAAGAAAGCCATTAGAAATTAACCCACCTGGGAGCATATATTTCTGGCTCATGTGCCAAATATTAGATTTTTCTCCTCCTAACAGAGAAAAGTCTACCTCTGCTGAAGTACCACTAGTGAGACCCAACAAAGACTACATTTACACTAATACTAGAATGCACAGGGAAGTTTAAAACCTGGAAGAGTTACAGTTTAAGACCATTTGCATAAATGGGAAGACATCATGACAGAAGTTACACAGTTTGCATTTCAAACTATCTTTTATAACCATAAAGACTACGAACTTGCTTTCTAAATGAAAGATCAAATGCTGATATGATTAAATGAGTTGTATCTCAGGCTTTGAACACAAGCATCCAGACATTATGAATTAATATAGCCTGCTGAAATCCTGAAGTTGGTATTCAGCTGTAGGACTTGAGAAGAAGTTTTGTTCAAGCAGCAACAACACATAATTCAGACATTAGCACATATTAAAGGCAATTACTTACCCGAGGGCCTGGTGGTCCTGGTGGCCCCGGTGGCCCTCTTTTTCCTGGATCTCCCTAAAAAAGGGTAATTTTCTTGACTCACAGTAATAACGACAACCAGCAGTTACATATTCATACCACACAACAACAGTGAGAAATGAAGTAGCTACAGAACGACAGGCTAGGTAGCCAATTAAAACCTAAACCCACAACATGGCTCCCATAATAGAATGGGAAAACCGTTTTCTTAGTAGAATGGGATCCACGTTGTGGAATAGGAGTCGCAAAAAATAATTAATTTGCAGCTGCTTTAGAAAGCTGAAACATCTGACCACAGGATCATCTAGGCACCCCTCTATCTCATAACTGCTAACTGAGCACTGAATTAAAAGAATTGTAGTAACTGGGAAAAATGCCCAAGATGAATTTACCAAGTTAGAATCTTCTCTTGTTTGTGAAGTTTTGATGTGCAGTGCTTTCAGAAGTAAAGACAACACAGAACCTCTGCAAATTATTTTACCTGAATGCTTTTAATTGAAATAAATCTAATATGCTGACAGGGACCGCCTTTTAACTTAATACTCTCATTTCAATAGTATGTTTGATATGTTATTAAATCATAAATGAAATTAACAAGATTAATATAGAGGAATTATTCACTAATTCTCACAATGCATGAGCTATAGAGCCATAGGTTTAAAAACACTAAAAAGGAATATTTCTTTTGCACACAATGTATAATTACATTGTGGGACTCATTATCACAATGTCTTGTGGAGGCCCATGATATAAATGGATTCGAAAAGGGACTGACTGCATTAATGGAGGATAGGCTCATATATAGCTTTTGAAAAACGCAGCACAGATGCAATTTCTGATTCAGGCAGTCTCTGAACTGCCAGCTGCCAGAATGTGGGACAGTATGACAGAAAAATGTCATTTTACAAATAGCCTGTACACTTCCCTAGGTATCCATTATTACCCTTGCTACAGACAAGACAGTGAGCTAAATAGATCATCTTCTGAAACAAACTGGCAGTTTTTAATAGTCTTTTTTTATATTCATTTATATGACTGAGTGCAAAACACAGGGAGAGGTATGCATTAAAAAAATAGGCTTCGTTAAACAAAATTTTAATGCTATTTCAGATGTCAACTAAAAAAATTAACAATTGGTTCCAATTTGCATTTCAGTGGTAAAGTATGGAGTCAAACTATGACAGTGTGCTGAAACTGAGTGCACAGTTTAGCAGTAAGGTCAGTAGATGGAGTCACACTTAAAATGAGACTAAGAAGAAATACTGAATTGCCATCTTCACTGATATCAAATGGAAAACAGAAATAGTATGTGGTCATGGGCCATAACATGTACATGAGAAGACAGGAGTAAAGCTAAAGGTCTGCATGTAATGTTAAGTTTTACATTTCCTATATTTCTGGCAGGTTTGCTTTTTGATTTTAGCTTTCCTTGAATAAGAGGAGAAGTGGAGTGCGGGACACTATACGAAACATTTAATTATAATCTAACAGGTGGCCCTGACTTTGTGCTATTAATTGTTCCTTATTTCTGATGAGCTTCAAACACAATCTTTACCAGTGATCGCTGTAGAGGAAAAAAAATATGTTTTCAAGTGCTTTGGGTTATAACTAACCCAAAGAGTGTTTAGATGGCACAGTAATTATTCATTTTTTCATAGAATCATAGAATCGTTTAGGTTGGAAAAGACCTTTAAGATCATCCAGTCCAACCATTAACCTACACTACCAAGTCCACACTAAACCAATCAAGGGTAGGCTAGACTAAACCATGTCCCAAAGTGCCACATCTACCCGTTTGTTGAATGCTTCCAGGGATGGTGACTCCACCACCTCTCTGGGCAGCCTGTTCCAATGCTTGACTACCCTTTCTGTGAAGAAAGTTTTCCTAATATCCAGCCTAAACCTCCCCTGGTGCAGCTTGAGCCCATTTCCACTTGTCCTATCATTAACTACTTGGGAGAAGAGACCAACACCCACCTCACTACAACCTCCTTTCAGGTAGTTGTAGAGAGAGAGAGTACTATAAGTACCTTTTAGCAATTGAATAAACCTAAATTTTCAGCAAACACAGTAGTACTTACAGGTGGACCAGCACGACCTACTTCCCCAGGAAGTCCTGCTGCACCAGCTGGACCCTATAACAACAAAGTTAAACAGTATTTTTAGACCATGCAATACCTCTATAACAAGCATCCAAGGAGGGAGAGCATGTAATTCTCTCAAACAAACTATGCCTTCAGACACCAGTACTCTTGCCCCATATACCATAGACCTAAGCAACCTCAGCAGTAGCTGAAGAAAGCATACATAATATACATAGAACATCAGGATTAAAACAGTTTCTTTTTTCACTGAACTACTTTTTATTACAGTATTAACAGCTTTATTGAATATTTAAACAGATTCATTAAACAGTATATTTATGAATTGCAAAAATGATACTTACAGGTGGTCCAAGAAGCCCCTTGCCCTGTGAAATATGAAAAAAAGAAAATTAACTCTATCCCAGCCGAAACCAGGACAGTCACAAATGTGGGGAGGGTTCCACACCTAGTCAAACTGCCAAGAACAGAGTATTTGGGATAAAAAGGTACAAAAAAAAATGATGCTTGATTCTGCAAAATCATTTTGAAAACTTGTTTAATTAATGTTAAATATCAATTTAATTATTAGTTAATCAATATCAGGAGAAAAATTAAATTATTGATTAAGTTGCCTTGCAGTAACCTTTCTTTACACGTATTTACAAACACATACACTTCCACAAAGAAATAAAGACATTAAAGCCTTTGGGTTTAGCTAATTATCAAGTAATATGATAAACACATCTATGCTGCAATCATTTCCTTCTAACAGTGCATTTACATTGACAATAAAAGAGAAATTTTTTTTTTTTTTTTTGCCAGTGCTTCCCCAAGGTCTAAATCCATTAAACTAGTGCTTTTTGGTAAGCAGAAAGAACACCAAACTGCTCATTTACATTTTCTATCAGTATTGCTCTGAATCATTTTAATGAGAAGTGTCCAAGATACAAATGTCATTCTGCCTATTTGGACAATATACTCCCTCTAAGAAAACAGATCCCTCAGTCTTGCATTACTAAAGCAAATGGATAATTTTATGGAGAACAGTGTCAATGATGTGTATGAAACACTGGCATATAAAATCACAAACATACTTAAATCTTCAGGAGATTTGACATAATAAGGCACCTGGGCTGAGTGGAGTTTAAAAGCCACATAATATCATACCAGGATTGCATTTGCAAGGTTGTCTTCAGAAAACTTGGTACACAGGGAGAATTTCAAATATTTATCAGAGTCATTCCGTTTTAACCATTTAAAACACAGCAGAAAGTAAACTTTTTCATCTTGCACAACCTACATAATTCCTTTGCTATTACTTAACACTCCACTGCTGCAATTCATTATATTATACATGCCTATATCTGACTATACAATTCAAACTTTCACTGCATCACATATCTGATATTAAAATATCACCTGCCTCTGAAAAAAGGAAACCAACTACTTGCAGGTTCCAACTGGAGTACCCCTTGCTAATGCACCCCTAACAGTGGCAGGGAAAGTCCGTAATACCAAAAGAAGAGCTACAGCTACTGTGTCCAGCCCACACACAGGCCCAGGAGAAGCCAATCCCCCCGCTCCTGCCCACTCCATTGCATCTCCTCACCCACCTAATTAGGACTCCCAGAAACAGGGGCTGTCCCCCAGCAATCCGTGCTTCCCCCTCGCCAAGCTACTCCACCCTTCTGGCCATGAACTCCCTGCAAGCAGACCAAGTTGGGGAGTTGAGAGCTCCAGGGCAATCAGCCAGTAGGGACCTACACAGAGCAGTTAATGATACCAGCCTGCTGCCCATGTTCCTGCCTCTGCCTGTGTCCTAAAGGAGAAGCCTCTCCACGCAGCCTGGGGCCGTGGCCTTACATCCCCAGATGCCTGCCACCTGCTTTGGAGGTGCTTATCTGACCCGTGGAGCACAGGCAGTGCATGGGCGTGGGCAGTAACCCACAGTCTGTAATCACCTGGCTCAGAGATACTCACCCCATAGATCGGGTAAGTACCTCCACATCGTCAGCTCGGGCCTGCAATGGAGTTGCAATGGATGGCAATCCACCATGAAGAGTCACATACCAGTATTTGTATGTGTACCCTGTGCCAGAAGCTGTGCTTTAGTAGACCTTAAAATATTTTCAATTTCTCTATCACGAAATACACACAATTCTACCCATATGTCAGATCTGTAAAACACTAGCAATATATCAGCTAATAGAAAAGTTAGAGGGAACTTAACAAAGAGAATGGACTGAAGGGTGCAATACATGCACTGAATGTAGCAGCCCCAGGTCCATTTACCAGGGCCAAATCAGACACATCAGCATATTTGATGGTAAAGTACTTGAATTAATCATAAGTATTCTACTAATTTTGTAAATCTGACATTTGAGAGACTATCCGCAAAAGAGATGAGACAAGGAGAATAAATTAAAACTAAATGATGAAGCAGGAAAAAACAGAGGAAAGAGAGAACAGAAGATGATAACTGAAGATACCAGGATACATTCTGGGGAAGAAAAGGTGACAAAAGCAGAAAAGGAAGTACTGTGTATAAAACTTTAGATACTTAATATTCTTTCTTTCAGTTACCCTGAAGTCCTAACTTGGCCAATAAATCCACTGGATGAGCTTGAAAAACAGTGATAATAATTTAAAACTAATTAATGTTGTAGCCAAGGCTTCTAACTTTCTGTTTGCACTAAGCAATTTAACAACTTAAGCAAGGGGTTTTTGTGAGAAATGAAGTCTTTGGATAACCATCCAGAGACTACTCCACTTGCAAAAGGCCACTGACTGAATTAAAAGCAGTGCATAATTACACATAAATACTCGATCATGTAAGCAGTATGCAGTCTCATAAGCGTGCTCACTATGTTTCTAGTAAACAAGGTCTCATGGATCAAACCAAAGACCTGCAAAGGTTAAACAGCCCCATCACTTCATGCTTGTGGTAACAGCTTCTCAAAAAGTCTCTGAATCTGAGAATTAGACCATCGCACTCCAGCACTACCACTTCTACCCTTTTTTTTAATTACGTTTCAGTATTCTTAAGTACTCACTAAAGGTGAGATGACTGGTGTTGGCCATTTTGAGAAACTTCCACTAACTGCTCTGTTTCTTCAGCATCTTAAAGCCATTCATCAAAAGGAAAGGCTGTATAAATGGAATTTTCCCAAGAGATTTATTCTGAGCATTAATCTTTCCATATGGATTCAGCACATACAGGTTAACAACCAGGGAGCTACAAAATCAAACACTAGGCTTCTTCCTAAAATGTGAGGTCTAAGGATTAACCTTAACCTTAATAATTACAAGGGTAATGACATGAGGTGACTAAGTTTATCCATCTTTTCTTTACTTTAAATAACTAAGAATTATCATTTCGTCATTATAAATATTCCTGCAGATTCACTTTTAAATACAAGATCCGGCTGCTTATTAAGCAGAAGCAGAACAACTCCAAAGCAATCCCTGCTGAGGTTCACTGAAGTGTAAGCACCTTAAGACTGAAAGTCTCAGGGCAAACAAAAATAGCTAAACTTTGAACAATGGTCCAAAATCTCTTCAGATTTATTGCTTTTACAGTCTCAAAACATGGTCACAAAAGACCTGCATCAGGTAAGTGCTGCTCTGAACAGGATCAGCATTCTACCTTGACAATTTGGTCCAGTTTGCTGCTTTCCCACAGTAACATCTCCACTTCTAAGCCGAGATTAACCCTCTTTATGTATATTTTATATACCCACTTTTTCTGAAGGCTCCTAAATTATTCATTCTCACATTAGACTGTTAATGGTGAGGTAAAACCATGCATATTTTCCCCAAGCCAGTTTTTATTTCAGCTGATAGGCTAGAATAGTACAGTATTTTAACCTAGTATTTCAGTAATTCAGTTTTAATTCCCCATTTTTTCCTCTCCCATAGTAGTTCTTTTCATGTACACTTTTTTCCCATATCATCTGAGTAACATATCTGACAAAGTTAAGCTATCTATCTCTTCATTCCAGCTACACATTTTAAAATGCATTGCAAACAACCCAGAAATTATTTCCCCATCTACTTGACAGGAAAAAATGAAAATAAGCAAAAAAACTGCAAACCCCTAACAGCAAAATGGAGGGCTTTCAGTCTACCTAGAAGCTACCTCAGTTCTGGTATTTTCTGTGACTAAATTTAGCTCATATATTGAGTCTACAGATTGACCAGCTGTTACAAAAGTATTACGTATTTTCCAGATTTTCAGGTAAGAAAAAGCATCCATGAAAATTAAACGCAAATGTCCACACAGAATGATTCATCTTAAGTTTGAACATGTCTATAATGTAACACCTTCAAGAATAACATTATAATTTCCTCTGTGGCCAAATATCAAAATGATTGTTTAATATAAATTTAATGAAAGTTAATGGGACAAAAATACAAAGATAAGTCAAAGATACAGAATTTCACAGCAAGGAGTGCTATATCAGAATACAATGCCCCTTCTATTTAATTCCAATAACTTCTCCAAAATTAATCTAATTTTTAATTAAATTTTAATCATGTGCAGCCCTATTACAATTTCATGCCAGTCATCTTGTTCCATTACCCATTCTCCTTGAGGTTTTTCCCGGTTTCCTATACAATCTAAGTTTCTATATGCCGACCATCATTCACTTCTTCAACCCTATAAAATTCCCAAAATTCACAATTATTCTCTGCCCCCAAAGACAGATGTTAAATCCATCTGCATGCCAACTGGAACAGTGCTCTTCACGTGTCCCTTCTATATTTTGTCATTTTCATATGGAACAGCACAGGAAGTCCCATACAGCATTTGCACTTCAGTGATCCCATTCAAACACATGGCAAGGAGCTGCAACAGGAATAACTGTAGACTAATCTATGTAAATAAAACATGGGCTCTTCGGTCTCTACAGCATTTTCACAAAGAGCTGGAAAACACCAGTATGCGTCCAAAACTTGTGACCATATCACACATGCTCCTTTCTTTTCTACAGCATACAAACCAAACATGTCCTTTCAGTAGTATCTGCACACTTTGATATAAAGACAAAAAGGTTCCTTAATGTACTACTATAATATCTTATGAGTTCTTTGAAACTTCAGAAATAGTTTCTGGCTTTTCTTCACTACATTTAATGGTAAGAATCCTTCATATTGATACTTAAGATCTAAAAAAGCCTCTTCGTATACTAAAGATATTACTTACCGGAAGTCCGCGAGCACCTGGCAGTCCTGGCTCACCCTTTAAAAGATAAAAATTGAGTTTTTCAAGAGGCATTAGCATAAAGTTTTGTAAACAACACGTAAGAAGATGCTCTCACTTTTTGGAGGGTATCATTTAGTGGACATATTCTGCAAGTATTACTCACTTCATTAACACTATGCTGGTTTCAGTAAGACTTGATAGAAAGGAAAGACTTTCTTAATATTAAAAAGATACAGCCTTAGGCCTTCCCCCCCCAAAAAAAAAATAATTCAAACATGCTGGTTACTCTGACTTCTGATGTAGCTTTCATTTGTCTGATTGCTGATGAAGTCAGGTTTCACTGTTTGGGTTCCCACTGCGTATTACTATAAAATAGTTACAGTACTACAAGATGGAAGGAGCCTCACCATTACTGAAGATGCTCAACCTTAATGTCATCAATGTAATGCCACCATTCCTTACTGCTGGCTGGGGGGAATGGAAGTTGCTTTGCACTGTGTGAAAAGGCCCCAATGGGTCCGTATTCTATAGACATTTTAATATTGTAAGAAAGGCTGCAGCACCTCATTAGTTGCATAGAGACAAACAAAAAAACCTGCTTTAAAAAAAAAACCAAACCAAAATTTCATGCATAATTGTGTTCTTACCTTCTGTCCTTTTGGTCCTGTGGCTCCATGTGAGCCATCAGGTCCTGTGAATCCCTTTGGAAGCAATGTATACGACGTTAATGCAAAGGTTATATGGTTTTCTTAATCACAACAGAAAACATTCTAAAACAGAATAATGAAGCTATTAAAGGAGATAAGTAACTGCAGGATTCTTACAATTCAAATGCCTATTGACATGTACAGATAGAACTGCCCAAGTTCAAAATACTAGCTTCTAGTGACAAACATCAGCGCCTGTGATATGTGTTCTTCAAAATTTATAATTTATTCCGTTAAATCACAATTAAACTAAACACGTGATCTCACATGATCTTATTTCCTCTCAATGGGAGATTGATTAATTTAGTTCATGGCTCAGGTTAAAAACAAAAACTGTCAGTGTTTACCATTTCAAATAAACCATTCATTGACCAAAAAAAAAAAAAAAACAAAGCTGCCAGGCTAGATTTGAGGTTAGTCTTTGAACCACACTTGTCTACCTGACTAAAATGAAAAAGCAATCATGATATAACCATGAATTCATTTGGAGTTCTTCTGCTTTCTTTTGTTTCCAAATTTTTAACCAACTGATATGGCTTGGAAATTTCCAGATACCCGTAAGAAAAGCCTGGCTTTTACGTTTGTCCAAGACATTTCTTTTTTGGTACACTTCCAGCAATTCAGTGTTCACCCAAAGGATGTTTTCTCTAATAATTTGCTTTCGAAAGCTTATGTGATCATTACAGGCAATTACTGTACAGTACCTTTACTCAGTCTATTAAACCTGACACTGAAAGAGTTTGTGAAAGAAAAACAAGATTTAAAAAGTCAGAACTGCCTCACCAATTAAACACGGAAGAAGGTATTATAAACCTAAAACCCCAATTAAAAGTTGAATGCACAGTAGGAGCACAGTAAGGTCCCATGTCTTGTCTTCAAGTGAAAACAAAAAAGGTTCACCATTTCAGAACAGAGTATTCTAGTACTACAGTTTCACTCATCCACTAATACTAGGGAATATGCAAACAAATATCAAAAGCTGAGCTGAGTTTACAATGTTCTGTTTCACCTGACTGTGTTACCATGAATTCTGGCAATGAAAACAAAACCATGCCTTAAGCGAAAATTGTAAGAGCCAATGATTTTTAAAATCTGCTTATGGGTTTTTGACATGTACAAATGGGTTGTGGTCCTGTACTGCTTTCAGGAAAAAATGAAGTGGTATGAGATACCACTCATGGCAAGCCAGAGACCTGAAATTTCAACAGTTTAACTAAAGACTGTTTCAGCTCCATCCACTAAATCTCTTTTCAAAAGCAAATTAAAAATTAACCTCTAACAGTGTTGCAATCTTCAATTAATATTAGGCTTTTTCATTTCTATAATTTGCCATATTCTCTAAGATACTAGTTTGTTGTATAGAATTCTATTTGTGATGTTTTAAATTATAGAAGTATTCTACCACTTACTGAAGTTAAACATAAGCTTGCCTGCCTCCTGGCACAAGATCTAAGTACTAATGCAACAATCTTCCTTCATAGCAAGAAATGCTTTCAAACACTGCTCTTGGGAGAGATAGAAAGAGTTTCCCAAAAACGTATGAAGGTGGTTTTTATTGCCGCTAACTTACTCAAGAGATACAACCTAACCAGCCGTCAACACAAGATGAAGTGGAAACGCTGTTATTCTGTATTATTTTCCACAGAGAAAGGAAGATAAGTTAGCAGGTACGGGCTCCGCAGGGGATGAAGTCTGGGAGGTTTTTGTTCGGAGCAACAGCTATATGGAAATCACAGTTTTTCCCTCAGAAACCGAGTTAAAATTTATTCTTAAGCTTCTATTTAGTGAAAAGAGAATGGTTCACTTTTAACATCAGGCCTACGGGGCTGATCTAAATGATTTTTTTTTTTCTTCCCATTTTCTCCGGCTTAGGAAAAGAG